GGTTTAGGGTTTAGGGTTTAGGGTTTAGGGTTTATGGTTTAGGGTTTAGGGTTTAGGGTTTAGGGTTTAGGGTTTAGGGTTTAAGGTTACAACGCGAAGATCCGCTATCAGAACGACGTTCTCCTTGACGTGGTCTGAACCCCAAATCAAACCCCTGCCCTGATCCCTGATCCCTCAATCAACCCTTCCTGGTCGCGGACCAATCCCTGCTATGCAACGCGAGGCCCGAACCCCAAACCTTAACACAAACCCCGAATGCCTCAACCAGATGTCCAAGTTTCCACTCGAGGCTGGAAGAGGGAGTATTTAAAATGTGGGGTTGTTAAATTTAGTACCAGTCACGGGCAGGTTTGGTCACGTATCTGGGGGAATTCTCCCAGATACGTGACCAAACGACCCTATTTGTGTGAAAAATACTATACAGCGGTCCACTTGTAAAGGACTTGTAAAGTTAAAACTTTTAAAATAGTCACACTTCTAGCCTCGAGTGGTTATCGTGGCCGCCGATGTCTCGTCTTCTGGCTCCGACTCCCGACTCCGCCGGCGATGAGATCGAGAACTAGATCCATTCTCACTGATTCGGTCAGTAAGAATGAATCTCACAGACCCGTCGTACTCTCCTCTTCGAAGTGTCTTCCTCTCTCAACCATCACCGGGTGGTGCCTCTTCTCGGTTTAGGCGTGTGTGTGCGAGTGAATACATTGTACGCTCGCTTCCCCACTCAAATGGAAGTGTCATTTCCTTCATCATAAACCCGTGTTCGCTTGTTCCAGAAACATTTGTCTTGTGTCACAGCGCCTCGCACGGGTGGGGGTTGGGGGGTCCCATATCCACCACAAAAGAAACTCTTGCCGCTGTTACCGATGTTGATTTCGTTGATTTCGTTCTCCCGTACTGGGTTACCTTGCTCAAGATGAGGTGTTCCTCCTTAGGTCTCTACAGTGGGCCTGTGTACCTACAGTCCTGCTGTGGTCCTTGTGGTAGGGGGTATCACCACCAACCCTGCGCTCAGGGTTTGGGGTTGAGGGGTCAGTGTTTCGATGAATCCTTCCTGCGTTCAGGGTTCGGGGTTTAGGGTGGTGAGTGTTTAGGGGTGAAGGTTTTGGGTTCAGGGGACACCACCACCAACCCTAAGTTTAGGTTTTGGGGTTGAGTGTTGAGGCTTTAAGGTTTAGAGGTTGGGGTTTATGGTTGATGGTCTAGGTTTTAGGGTTTAGGGGTTGAGGTGGTTTAGGGTTTGGGGTTTAGGGTCTGCGGTTGAGTGTTGAGGGTGAAGTGTTTAGGGTTTGGTGTTTAGGGTTTAGGGTCTACGGTTTAGGGTTTAGGGTCTGGGATTTAGGGTTCAGGTTGTAGGGTCTAGGGTTTCGGGCTTGGGGTTTAGGGTTCAGGGTTTTCGGTTTAGGGTTTAGGGTTTAGAGTTTGGGGTTCATGCTTCATGATCTAGGGTTGAAGGTTTAGGTGTTGGGAGTGGTTTAGGGTTCGGGGTTTACGGTTTGTGGTTGAGTGTTGAGGTTGCAGGGTTTAGGGTTTGGGGTTTAGCGTT